AAAAATCAAAAATCAAACCCACCAACAATTTTTTTTTTTCTTTTTCCTTCATCTTCTTCATCAACAACAACAACACATCAACATCAACAGATCTATGTGTGTATCAACGTATCTATATATATATATATATATATGAGAGAGAGAGAGAGAGAGCCACCCACCGACGCCGCCATTACCGTCTCCTCTGTAAAAATCTGAATTTTTTTTTCAACAGAGCATCATCATCGGAGGCTGGCGGTGGAGAAGAATCGGAGATCGGAGGCAACGATTGACGGGCGGTGCTCTTCCTCTCTGTTACCCCTTCCGTCTCTCTTCTCCTCTCTCTATCCCTCCCTCGTTCTCTCTGTTTCAGATCTAAAAGAGGGGGGGGGGAAATTGAATCCAACACGACGTCGTTTTGGATTCAGGCCAATCGAGCCGTGGGAAATTCGAGCTCTGAATCATTTTTCTTAAAATTGCACATCTAAATAGAATATCAAAGGTCTGATGAAGTAGAATTGCCTCGTTAATTTTTAAAATCCTCAAACCTTATCAAGTACTATGAATTGATTCCACTAACCTGCTATGAAGCCTAGTTCAAGATAGCCCACTTGATAAAAGTTTGGGTTGTCAAAAATGACAATTTGGATTTGAGACTAAAGGAAACAACTTCGCTAAAATAATAGCTGAGGCTAGTTAACTATGCAAAAATTAATTATTGAAAAAAGAACCCATTAATCTTATCCTTTATTGAGACTAACATGACATGTTTTAAACAAATCAAACCTTCCCCAAAATAACTCACTTAACAAAAAGTAATTAATGTGGTCCACTGGCCTGTTTGGTAATTATTTCGTTTTCAGTTTATATTTATAAAAATTTAAAAAACTGTTATAAAACCTTATTTGATAATTTTTTTGATTTATAAATGGTTGTCTCAATTTGTAAATTTAAAGAAAAAACGTAAACTCCAAAAATGAGTTTACGTTGGTTTTTAAACAGAAATTTAAAATTTTGACTAACAAAATTTTTTTTATTAATTTTTTTTTCAATTATAATGTGTATGATCCCATTGTCATAAATAATAAAAAATAAATATAAATATTTTAAGTATGAACAAATATATTTTTTTGCCGACCCCATTTGATGGGACTTAAGGCTTGGTTTGGTTTGGTTTGGTTTGTTTTTAAAATTTTTTAAACATTTTGTTCAAACCAAACGCGTTTGTAGTTTATGTTTTTATAAAAATAAACAAAAATCAGTTTATAAAATTTTTATAAACATAAATAAAAAACGTAAACGTTACCAAACGCTTAGTGTTTGTTTATTGGTTGATGTTGTTATCAACTACTACATAATTAAAAGGGTAAATTATGCAAATGGTTCTTGTGGTTTACACGATTTGTCAATTTAGTTCTTGTTGTTTTAGATTGCTTGATTTTACTTCTTAATTTAACGGATTGTGTCATATTGATCCAATAAATAACGGCTGTTAGTTTTGGTCGAAAGTTGTCATGTGCTCAAACAATGTGTCAATTTAATCCTTGTAGTTCATACGATGTGTCAATTTGATCCATGTTATTTTAATTTGCTCGATTTTGACAGAGATCAAATTGACATATCATGTAAACTACAAGGATCAAATTGACACATCTTTTGAGTTTTCATATACCAAAGCTAACGGCCATTATTTATTGGATCAATATAACACAATCCATTAAATTAAGTGACAAAATCGAGCAAATTAAAATAATAAGAATCAAATTGACATATCGTGTAAACTAGGGGACCATTTGCGTGGTTTGTCTTAATTAAAACACAAAAAAAATTTAAGTCAAGAGTGTCTCTTGAGATATAACTAGGGATTTGATATCTCAAATGATCAGATTGTTCTTACCTTTTCAGGTATTGGGCTTTGGCAGTGCCAACATATGCAATGGTGACCGTAATATTAGCCATTGGATTTTACATTGGCCTCAACTTCATGGCGACCCCTCCTCCAACTTCCTTGAACACAATGTTTGGTAAGCCTTATTCTCCCTTCCTATTTGGTACTTCCAGTTATTGTTAACTTTTGGGAAGGCACTCCCTCACTTTCATCGAGATCCATCTAAAGCTAACAAATTTTGATTGACTGAGACAATATGTTTAAAATGCATTAAGCCCCGAAGCCAAGCAAGAACATGTTTAATTCCTTATTTTGATGCTGCTTTATTTTGCAGATGAGTATAGTAGAGAACCTTTGAGGTCTGAACCTTCTGTGAAAGGCAACGAGCAGCCCATTAAGCCCTTATCTGATATTGGCATCAATCAAATCAATGATCTTATGTTCAACGTTTAGAAATGACAATCTATCCTTGCATGATGACCATCCTGTCCATATCCTTATTGCCTTGTGAAATTATCATTATGCTTTTGGAGAGTTGACTTTGATGCCCGTTGAGAATTGTCCCAAGTGAGAATGAATAAAGTGATTCGAATGCCATCAGCTTGGCCAATATTTCACTTGGGCAATGTAAAGTACACAACCTATGAGGATCGAACAAGGTTATCAGTTGTGCTTTGAGTCAGATGGCACTTGTGGACGCAGGTAGTAATGATATGGTGAACACCAATGATATGGCTGGCAGTTACTTTGTACTCTTGGGTGATCAGCCAAGTTTCTTGAAGGGAAAATGATTTGAAAACAACAAACTTACTAGAAAAGATCTAGAATGATGCGACAGTGCCATTTTGAAATTACGAGGACAATGATGAGTGTTTTGATTAGAGATGAAGGGACTACAAGAAGACATATCAATGTCAACTTTTGAGTATTGAAATATTGATATACAGCAGTGCTACATCCCCGAATGACGTTGCAAGGTTTGTTGCAAATTGTATAACAGTTGCTACATCTCACACGCAACAAAACCAAAACCATCGATATTGTTCGCACTTATCCTTGTAACTGTATATCACCTCTATTTTGTGAATTTATTGGCACACACCATCTAATAAAACCACAAGCATCACTAGAGAAATAATTTGTTTTTGTTTCGATTAGTTTCAGAAATAATTTGTTTTTTTTTTCGATCAGTTTCGCATAAACAATGTACCATGGACCAAATTAATAGTTAACATTTTTGTTTTTACCACTTTTTTCTGCTTTTAGTCTTTTGTCAAGTTCTGTAGACTACAATTTTGATCTGAAGCACTCAGTAGGGCAGATTGTTATACAAGAAAGAATATCACAAATTTCATGCAAATGATAATGTTTGGTTGGCAGATGAGGGATGGAATAGAACTGTTTTCTCGTGGAATAAAATTATGGTCAAAATCTATTTGAGTTGACCAGTGCACCGGTTTTTTTTTTAATTTTATGAATTTAATGAATCAAGTCTTTTGAGAGTTTTTAGATCTGTTTGTAGTTGTATGATATCCTAATTTATTCACTGTCTGAGGTAAGACACTTACAGATAGTGACTTGCTTAGAGTGCACAAATTGTACTCTAAATTTGAGAAATGTGAATTGTGATTTTCGAAAATGAAATTTTTGGGCCTTTCTAGGCCACGTGTTGGGAGAAAGAGTAACAGATGATTCTTCTTAGACGATGTGCATGATTGAGAACAACTTAAGAATGCATTTGAGATTTGGAGTTTTTTTGGTCTAGCCGGGTGTTATTGAAATTTTGTGAAAGACTTTTTTAGGCTAGTTTTCACGACTTTTCTAGGCTAGTTTCACCATTGATTAAGTTGACAAGGATGGGAATTAAATTTGTTTCGAGCAAGGTCTTGCAATTTTTTTTTTTCAAGAGCTTAAGACTAGACTAACAACTACACCACCAATTATTGCGATGCGTCTCGGGACGGACTAAGTTGTGTGTTGATGCAAGAAGGAAAGGTTGTGGCATATGGCTTACTTTACCTTCCTATCTTTTGAAAATAGCCATATATCCCCATGTGTTTTTTGACTAAAATATAACCTTAACACCGTTAATGTTAACAATAAAAAACCAATTATACCCTTTATATCTTCTTCTTCTATTTTTGACTCTCTTTGTAAGTAAATAAATAAATTCACCTCCATGACTAAGCAAAAAAATTAAAAATATAACACAACTGATTTAAAAAACTGGGGTTTCCTAAATTATTTTTTAATAAACTTGATTTTTAATTTTAATTAATTTATGATTTAATTTGTTAAATATATATGTGTGTGTGTGTTCATGTTTAATTTCTAACGTTATTAAATAATAAATTGAGTTAAAAATTAGATTAAGATACTTTTATAATTTAATTTTATGGTAATAAATTAGGCTATGTTTTAATTTGTTTTATATGTGTGTGTGTGTGTATTATGTATATGTTTAATTTAAAATATTATTAAATAAGGTAATTTTAAGATAATAAATTAGGATGCTTAGTTTAATTTATGATTTAATTTGTTAAATGTATGTATGTTTATAGTTATTTTAAAATGCTATTAAATAAAAAAAATTAGGTTATAAATTAAAAATTAGATTGAAGTAGTTTGATGATTAATTTTTATAATAATCAGGCATTTAGGCTAATTTAATTATATATAATATGTATGATTAATTTAAAATGTTATTAAATAAGAAATTTAGATAAAAAAGTTAAACCAAGTTTACTTTTGTCTTCTTACATTGAAATTTAACATTGACTATTTTCTTTTTTTCTTCCCCACTCAAAATAGGCACGTGAGATACTCTCTGTTAGTTTAGATAGAAAATATAACTGTGACATTTTAGTCTAAAATTACATGAGAGGTATGTAACTATTTTTAAAAGACGTGGAGGAAAAGTGCTATTGGGTCATACCATAAGGGGATAAAATGAATTTTGTCCCAAAATTATTGCACAGTTGGTTCACATGTTTTGATTCAGGAAAACTCTCGTGGGTTCAATTGTAACATGAAAGCTAGACGTACAGTTCAAATTTCAAACCCTCATTAACTAAAAATAAATAATAAAATGAATTTAAATTGTATTTCGATCTTGAATTCATTCATGGAGATATTTGAGAAGAAAAAAGTAAACACCTTTGTTGTACTAATGGGTCATGAGAGAAGAAAATAAGTGCACAGAAGGAATGGAATATGTGAGACTATGAAATGTTCTTGAAATTACTGTGCACAAGAACAGGTTGATGACAAAGCACCCTCAAACTTACAGGAGGGATAAAAAGAAAAGAGTAACAGTTCTAATTACAAAAGCTCTGTTTGCACATTCACATTGTATAACTTATATTATTCATGCTTTTCTTCTGCATCATGAACCCTAATCAGTGACTCTTCCAATGCTAGCAATGCAACCTTGTAATGATCCAAAGAGATCACTCCCTCTTGCATAACTTGCAAGGCACTTCTGTACAACTGACTAAACCATTGAACTCGTTCAGTCGCATCAACATTACTGGACCCATAATCAGGAATATACAAGCGCTTGTAATCCTTTTTCCATCGTGATAGAACATACTTTGAAGGAATCTCCTCCACCCCGTTGAAGTTGAGAACAGACAATGCATGCCGACAAAGATAACCATTGAAGTTGAAGCAGCTGCAAATGCAACGAATTTCTGATGCTACTCTATTGTACAAAACTTCGTAAGCCCTAATCTCTCTCTTATTTCCCTCTCCCGAAACACGCTCTTTCACTAGGAATATTATAATTGGCCCGTCTATGTGTAATTGTGTGGTACTGAAACAAGAATACATCTCTTCCACTTCAAATTGAAATTTCTTGAATATTTCTCTTGTATAGACTTTTGATAACTGCAACTCAAAAGGACATCTTGTTTTCAACGTGGGACTCGAGTTTCTTGACTCCATATCTGCGAGTGCTTCTTCCTTGTGCTTCTTTTGTAAAGCTAGTTCATACTTATCGAGAAATTCTTTCAGAGGAGTTTGTTTGTGCACGTATCTATCAAAAAAAGGAATCAGGGTCTCACCAGGGCGCACGGCAGCCATCCCACCAAAAAAAGTTTCTTTTAAATAAACCGGGGCCCATCTAGTTCGATCTTCATACAAAGACTGAAGCCACAGATGATCACTTACTCCAAAATGCTGGAGCATAAACCCCCATGCTGCTTCAAAGTCAAATGGTTTTAATGCCTCATAGACGGCCTTAGTCAATGCCTTTCGAATAGCATCATAATTGCGCAGCCCTCCCAACTTCTCCGGAACCTTTTTCATGATGTGTGACAAAGCAAAACGATGATGAGATTTTGGAAACACCTCTGCAATTGCACTCTGCAAAAACTTGCATCTGTTTGTTATAATAGTTTGTGGAGAGCATCCCGACATACATAAAAGCCATGCTTTTAATAGCCAAACATATGATTCTGTTGTCTCACCTGCAAGCAAGCCACAACCCAACGATACTGATTGACCATGGTGGTTGATCCCAACAAATGCCACAAGCGGAATCTCATATTTGTTCGACAAATATGTATTATCAAAGAATATCACATCACTAAAGTAACCACTAGCAGCCCTAGACCTAGCATCTGCCCAGAACACATTCTTCACCAGCACTTCATCATTAAGATCCATCAAATAAAAAAAATTTGGATTCGTCAACTGCATACGACAAAGGTAGTTGTAAATGGCTTGTGTGTCGCCTTTTCTCAAGTTCAACTGATTGGGATGATCAGAGAAGTTCCTCATCTCTCTTGCATTAGAATTCGAGTTCCCATTATTACCCCCTGCATCAATCACGAGGGCCCGGTACAACTTGATCGTCTGTACTTCTGCATCAGAGTTTGACTGTAACTTCCTCTTGGTTTCAGTGTTGATCTTCTTAATTGACTTGTGATTCTTAGAACCTAACATGTGGTTGTGTTCAAGGGTAACTTCAAGTACCCTCCACCTTCTAGAGTCCACTAACCTCATCCTAATCATTGCAGGGCAACCAGTTCTGGTTTCCTTACGTATACGATTTACCTCTTTCATTCTTTTGAAACCCTGGCTGCTGCAACAAAGTACAGCACCGTACTTCTCTCTGCTGTTTCTTTTGAACCATGAATTTTTCACCCTAACACGGAAGCCCACTTCCTTTGCATAACAAATGTAATAGTTGTAAGCATCATCATATGACTCAAACTCCATTCCCACAGCAGGTGCAACAAATTCCTTCCTTCCTTGAGGAACACCATTTTGACCATCTAACTCAGTTCTCTCACCATCTCGTTCTTGTATCATCTCACTGCTTTGATCAAGAGGGGTTTGACCATTGCTGAGAGAAGCTTCTTCCATCTGAAGTAGAAAGCAACTCACTAAGCACATAGAATGTTATAAAAAGAAATTACCAACTATCAAAGCAAACATGATACATGCATAAACTACCATTTAGAAATCAAAACCTGTTTTGAAGGTATAATGACACTAACGCATTGCCAATCAAACACATGCTCAAATAATAGGATGCTATCTAGATCTCCAACCTTGACTCACACCAAATAAGCCAGTAAAATGAGCCATATCTTCAAAATGGTCACTGAATGCCAAGTTAAAGCTCAAAATTTTGACTGAAACTGGCAGACAAGTGACTTTTTTAGCACAGAATGCCTAACTGTCTTCATATCAGAAGTTTGAGTTTTGAATACTAATTTATCATTGTTTTCTAGAACACTAGAAAGAAAAGTGTCGTCTTTTCTCTTTCAATAGGTGAGTTGTTGAGGAGACTCAAACCTTAGTCTCTTTAATAAGGAAATGTGGCCTAAGCCACTCTGTCATCCCAAGAGAACAGAAACGAACATGCCCTTGCACACAACAGTGACAAAACAGCTGAATTTCCATTTGGTCAGGTTCTCATGCTTCTTGTTATGATTTACAATGCTCTTTCGGTTAGTGGGGAATCATAATATAAGAAAAGGTAATTGAGATTGGAAACCAACCACACAAACCCCAAACTATTATGAAGTCCCATGTTTTTTTACTCCATATGGAGGAGGAGATTACATGCATTTCGCTATAGAAGTTAAATAAAATAATAACAATAAATAAATTAAATTAAATTAAATAAAAACAGAAAGGAAGGGGAAAAAAAAAGAAAAGAATCCACAAGTAATTGCTGGCAAAAGGCACAATATATATTACTAAGGATATGAAAATAAACATGACTTTTGATTTAACCGAACTTGTGGCTTTCCAAAAAAACTGACCAGAGTTTTTTTATTTAATTAGTGTTATGTTGCTTTTCTTTTATTACTTTTGAATAAACTATTCATGTATTTAGTATATAATAGGCCTCGTTTGGGAACAAGCTAATTTAGTAACTTTTTGACTATTTGGCTAAAATATGAGCTAAAAAAAACTAGTACGTTTGGGATGACTTTTTGGCTTTTTACGAAAAGATGTGCAAAAAGTAGAGAGAAAAGGAAATCTTTGACTTTTTGATATAAGTTATTGCCTTTTTGGTTTTTTTAGTAACTTTTTGACTTTTAGGCTAAAAGAGACAGTTCCCAAACGAGGCCTAAATTCATTAAAAATATAAAATTTTAAGGTATCTCAGACATATTGTGTCCTAGAATTTTTTAAAATTACTACGTCAACGTGTCCACATCATATTGCTTGCTCATGTCTATGCTATTTAGCCATTAGGCTTACATGGGGCGTTTTTGTTTCCATTTTTTGAAAACAACCACAATATTAGACATACCATTTGCACATTTACATTATTTTATTGACCTTTATCTTCTCAATAACAAAACAACCAGTTAGGTACAAGTTGATTGTACTCTTTTTTTAAGACATTCTTTAGTTATAATGTAATTATGTAACCCAACAGGAGTACTAATTATTCTGAGATACCGCCACACAATGAGACCAATGGGCAACTGTCATTTACATGACATTTTTGCACACATATAAACAATGAGTAAGTTATTCCATACTCATCGGTTGTTGTGCCACCAAAATACTCTTCATTTTCTCTACATCTCTACATTATTTAAATTTCACTACATTATTGAAATAATCCATTCATGAATGTAATGTAACCTTCAAGGGTAGTTTGGGAAGTTGGCTTTTTAGCTTAAAAAGCAAAAAAAAATAATCACTAAAAAAACAAGTCATGAAAATCAGTCTTTCACATTTTTCCATACAACTTAAAAACAGTCATTCCTAAATACATTAACTTTTCACCTCATAAAAAAGCCAAACTCCCAAACCACGCCTGTGTGGTGGTGGTGGCACAAAAACATGCTTAAATTAGGAGCATAACAACAAAATATTTTCCAAAAATTACAAATTCAAGCCAACTAATCCTCAAAAGTAACCTTGAAGACTGTTCAATTTACAAGCATGCCCACCAATTTTCAATTAATTACACATTCATTACAAAAATACATACTATTTCAATTTCTTCAAACCAATAAAAGTTGATCATAGATAGTAATTAGTATCATTCATTCTCCAAAAAAACACAAATTCAAGACAACCAATCCTCATAAGTGACCTTAAATATTGTTCTTTTTACAAGCATACTAGATTACACATTACTATTTCAACTTCTTTTTTCATTTTTGATTTTATTTTTTTGATTGGCTATTACTATTTCAACTTCTTCAAACCAACAAGCATTGATAATAGATAATAATTAGTATCAATTAATAAACTAAGTAGACCCATGGCCAACCATCATTTTTACTATTTCAACTTCTTCAATACTTGTTGGTTGTTGTGACACTGAAATAATCCCTTCCCACTCTCATTCGCAAATGTAACCTTAGATTGTGTTGTGGTACAAAAACATGCTTAAATGAGGAGATAATGACAAAACATTCTCCAAAAAATATAAATTCAAGCCAATCAATCCTCATAAGTGACCTTAAAGACTGTTCTTTTTACAAGCACACCTACCAACTCTCAGTTAATTATATCATTCCTAGATTACATATTACTATTTCAGCTTCTTCAAACCAATTAACATTGATAGTAGATAATAATTAATATCAATTATTAAAGTAAGCACTTATTATGACACATCCTTGTGAATTACTCGCTCCACCTCATTTTCATTAACTTCAAAAGTCATCAAATTTGGTCTAGAATATGTCCATTTAATAATTAAAAATGTGAGAGTGCTTATAAACACCTTGATGTTAGTTCCGAAGATCTATAATTTATATCATCTAATTATTTAAAATCCAAATGTTTCACCATCCCATAGATAATCCCATCCAGCCTATCTATCGTAATGTGTCCTAATGCGAAAGCTTCCTTCGAACTGGAGAATAAACCAATTTAAGGGTAAGTATTCCAACCAAAGTTTTAAAAGGCTTTTCTGAGGCCCGCCTTGATGCTCGCCTTGCCTCGAGGCTAAGGTAAAACGCATCAAGGCTTTAATTTTTAGGCTATACTCCCCGGAGACTACGCATCACAATTTGATGTATGCTTTTTTTTTTTATTATTTATTTATCATTTTAGTAGGATCTTAAGATTCTCGATCTGATCTACTAGACCCCCAAAACAATCTTGTGTAGGATCCCGATCTTAACAACATTTCTTGCATGCCTTTTGCGCATTATCATAGGAAGAGTTTGTCTTCAGCCCTAGTTAAACTTAGTCTAGTAGATGATTTAAACATAAAAGAGCAAAATACAAAAAAGCACCCATTTTACAACTACATTCTATAGGAAAAATTAAGTAAATGACCAATAATAATAAATAAACAAATAATTGCTCAAGTGAGAAGCTCAATCACTAAAGACAAGAAAGTCAATTTCACTTCCAAATTTCAATGAAGGAAACCTTCCTTCTCTGCAGTGAAGTTCGACACCTTAAGAACAAAAGTATCTATCTACATATTTACAATTAATTTTTATTATTTTAAAATAATAATATATTTACTAAATATTAATTTTAAAATTCAAAATGTTTACACCTTGACGCCTTAAGCCGTACCCCTAGAGTTACGAATTCGCCTTTAACAACTTCGATTCCAACTATGATGCAATACAAATTTATAATCGTACATATATCTTAGAAATGACAATAGAAGAAAGCTTAAAAAATAAAATAAAGGGTTATTCTTTTAAAAGCTTCCATATGTTAGGAGAGTTAGTAATAGCAAACCTATAAATGTTCTTCAGATATGGAAATTGCCCAAATGTTCAACACTCAATAGGAACCAACATCAAAAAAATGTTTAACATCACGAATCAAATAAAATCCCATCCTTCTCATGTTCAAACCCATACAAAATCAAACAAAATTTCATGATTCACATCCTCCGCATGTTCAAAAATTAACAAATTCCCACAAAAAATCCAACGAAAGATGAAAAATTTTCAGCAATAGTTCAAAATCCTACCTCTGTTGCTCTACGCAAAAAAGAAAAAAGAAAAAAACCCTTCCTCGGGTTCCTCTTTCGGCGACAGACAGCGGTGAGTCAATCGAAATGCGACCTCGAAGCCTCCGGTCACTGTGACTCTATGAGAATGCGAAGCGCTTTTCAATCGATGATTACAGAGAAAGAGAGAGGGAGGACTACTGTGGGTGGTGAAGTAGACGAGTAGTGGTGGTGGTCGGCGGTTGGTGGCGGTCTCCGGCCTCCGGATCGGAGGAGAGAGAAGGGGGGGAGAGAGAGAGGGAGTCGAGAGAAGAGGGGAATCTCATCGGCATATCGAAATGGGGGAAATCAAAGTTGAGGGGTATAAAAAAAACATACGGAGGAGGGGGCAAATTCAAAAACAAATTTAGATTGTGGGTAAAATTTAACAATTTTCAAACTTTTTCGAAGAAAATTTTAAAGGGCACGATCTTTAAATCTAATTTTAAATTTTGTTTAGTTGAAGATACGAAAGTTTCTATTTCTACACATGGGTTGTTTAGGATGACTTAAATAAGTATATATTTTATTTTTTTACGAAAAGATGTGTAAAAAAATAGAGAGGTAATGTGATGAAAAAAATATAAAAAGATAAAAAGATTTATTATTTGAGATATGCCAAACTTGGCCTTATTCTTCTTTTTTCACACACTTAATAATTTATTTTTTAATTACAAATCTAATCAAATTACTATTTTAGATCAAACATACATCTATTGATGGAGCACTCAACAAACACACATCGACCGGCCAATCACTACCACCAGCCATAGCTATCATTACCGTCGTCACAAGCCCCACCACTATGAACCCTCTATCATGGTGAATCCTACACTGTCAAAAACCCTCAAACTGTTGCGAATCCTATCCCATCTTGAAGTTTGATTTTGCATAATCATCACTAACAAATCAATGCTACAAGTTTGAACTTTAGCCTTTGATTCAGAAGCAAAGCAACAGAAAAAAACATATGTCTAATAGTAAACAAAAATGAACTACGTTACCACAATATTATACTAGATATAGACGATGTTTGGAAACGCGATTTGGTGCTTATTTTACGCTCTAACGGAAAAAAATTCAAAACCACGCACTGTAGCTGAGTTCCAAAGCTCAGTCTAGCTATATGGCATTAGTCTGGTAAAAAGACACATTTATCCTCTGTTGCTCCTATCGGTTTGCAAACATCTCATACCTCTCATATCTTTCATCCTACTTGGAGGCTTTTACAGCAGATTGGGCTACCTCTCTTCGGCTGCTCACTTCGATTGAATTGTTACGGAAAGACGACGTAGCCGATCGTGGAGGTGATACAAAGGTACGGTTACCAAACACTATTTTTGTGCTTTTTCTTCACTGATGATGATGTACTCCCCTTCAAATATTTTTTCTTGGTTCATCTTTGGTGGTTCAGTCACCGATCTTTGTAGTTCTGTTCACCATGTCGTGTCCAACAAAAAATACATACAAATAACTTGATTGATGTTTGCTCAGCAAACTATTTCTCAAGAATGGGTGTAACGCCCCAAAAAATATACAATAAAGATAACTCATATGTGGAATAAATATGAGAAACAACATATTTTCATATATCAGAGTTCACTGTTTAACAACCAGTTGTATGCCATGTAAGCTTATATCTTTCCAAGTCATTGCTTGGTTACACAAATTGAATCTCGCTCATTACAACTTAAGCCCTTGGCTTTACAAATAACAAACATACACACATAAAGCATAAATAAGAAGCTCTTGCTTCCCGAAAGTCCATCCACCTTATTGCCTTGGAGGAAACACCTCAACTGCACCTGAAAATGATTTTTCCGTATAGGGTGAGCCAACAGCCTAGTAGAGATAATCTAACATAATATATAAAGTTTAGCAAATGTATAAATACCACGTACATAAACAATACCAATACTAAAACATTTACAAGGCCTGCATATTCGTATGCCACTAACACCAAACCTCATTTCTATTTTCCTTCAATTCATTTCAAGTTCATATATATACTACTCAATTCATGAGTTAAATTCATTATCTTTTAACAACCAAAATGAGACTACAACTCAATGGTTTTCCAACTATGCAAAATACCCATAAACACTTCAAACCTGCCATTTTATAGATATTTCGTCCGAAGGAACCGGCAGCCATTTATATATGAAATTTCGGGTCTTTCACCCAAGGCACTCTGGCCAACTTGCTTTAAAATGGAGTCCATCCCCTTTCTCCTCCCAAACAAATATACATATGCAATGTATTTATAAACATAATCACATATGGAGTAGATCCCCTTTCTCCTCCCAATAAACATACATATACAATGTATTTATGACATGGTCATATTCAATGACACCAACAATGAATTAGCATTAAATCGCCTAATCCTCATGCAATTTCTACAACAATCATAGCTATCCTCCACCGATAGTCCAATACAATTATTTCTAAGAGGTGTTCAATCTCAAAATAAATAGTTTATTCAAAACTTCCATAGGTGAGATATTACATATCCAATATCACCATTTATAACCACAACCTTCCAATTTCACATTTTCAATGTTAATCCCAATTATTTATACAAAATAATAATTTAATCGAAATTAGGGCAAAATCTCCCTCTTTCCAAATATCAACCCAAACACTAAAATCAACTATTTGGGCACAACATGATCATATATTTAAGCCTTATACTCATTTACCTCATATTCATCAAATACCCCTCTTTTCATTCACACCTAAATCCTAGATTTGTCCAAACCACAACCATATCTCGTCATCTATACACAACAGCAAATAACTAAGCTAAAAATCATATTAGAGTGTAGAAATTCCCTACCTCAAGTTTGACGAAAAGACGAGTTGAAACCCCAAAAATCAATGATGCCTAAACTCGATCTCTACCGAACACAACGTAGCCCTCGCCTAGATAACCGATTTTGGTGAAGAACTTAGGTCCAAATCCCAAAGGATTTGAAGAAATCAAAGATCTTATGAGATTTTTGGTAGGAAATGTAAAGAGAAGGGAGAGGAAGTGTTTTTAGAGAGAGAGAGAGAGATATACAAAAGTAATGTGAAATATCAGATTCACGAATTGATATAATACATGGTCCGCTGGAGCGTGGAAAGCCCCGCTCGAGTGTCAAATACACTATCCCAGTACTTTTGCAGACAGGTCAAACTTCTGAAATTAAACATTCTCCGCTTGAGTGCATAAATGGCCGCTCGAGCGGACAAGCAACTTCGAATGCATTTTTCATTTTTGTTTTGAGGGGCGCTACCCCTCAACCCCACCAGGGCACTGCCCTTGGAATCCACCAAGGGGCGCTACCCCCTAGACCCCCGCGAGCTGACCGGGCAGCTCGACTCCCGCCAGGGCGCTGCCCTTAGACCCGCCAAAGGGCGCTGCCCCCTGGATCCCCGTGAAGGGGCGCTATCCCCTCGACCCCCGACCGGCCCACTCGATGTGGCAAAACATAAAAGAAGGATCGCAACTGGGATTGCTACAATGGGTCTTCCTTCATTTTGGATTTTCTGGATATTTGAGGAGCAATTTTGTTTTCCCTTTCTTCCATCTAAATAAAAACTAAAACGACCATTTGATCTCTCGATCTGCATCATTTTTATCTAAATAAAAACTAAAACTTAGGACTTGTTTGGTTTGGTTTTGAGAGATAAATCTTGAAAATAATTTATGGGGAAAGAAAAAAGAGTTTACAAATTTATTTGGTTTGTTTGGTTGAATATTTTCGAACTAATTTTGGAGTACAGGAGTTGTGAAAATAATTTTGTTGTAGTTGAATAGATGTGTGTGAAAGAAAAAGTGACTGAGAAGGAGAGAGGAGTGATAAAAAATGATTGATTGATGTATAGGAGATAGAAAGTGATTGTTATTTTTTTTTCGTAAATTCACTAAACCACACAAAATTTTAATTAATTTTTATATGTGAAAAATAAAATAAATGTTTCCAAACAAATGTTTTTATTTTTTTTGGAGAAATGGATTCCATTTTCAATTACATAAAAATTTTAATTAAATTTAATATGTCAAACTAACAGTTGGCCCATTAATTAATTCATTGTAATTAATTTTGCAAACAAATTTGCACCCTGCGTGGGAGACCTAGTTTCTAATTTCGCATAAATGGTGCCCACGTGGATGTTAACACTAATTTCTTATAAATATCATTATGGGCAATTTGGTCAATTTACATTCAATTATCATTTCAAATACATTTTTCAATACAATAATTTCTACAAAATCCATCCCATCTTCCCAAACATACTAAAATACCCCACTAAAATAGTCAAACCACCAAAAAACCTCAAAAAAACCCACTTCCCAAACACCCACATAGTTATATATATATATATATATTTCTTTTCTTTGCTTTTCTTTTTTTTCTCTATTTCTTTATATGTATATATGTCAATAGTTTTTTACTTGCAAACAACTTTGATAAAAAAAGAAGAAGGCATGTTTGATAAAACAAAAACAAATATTCATACTTGCTTCCCTTAACAAAGCTTGTCTGTTTAGATTTGATATTTCGAATAGAAACAATGGTGGGTGATGGATTTCGTGTGGTAGCCACCGCGAGTGGGAATGGAAGAGTTTCATGGTGGTAGCCGCAGGTCACAATGGTGGTGGCTTTGCAGTGGTAGAAGTATTGTAGTAGTGGTGTTGATAGAGTGAAAGGTTGGGGGAGAAGGGTTTGAGTGGTTGAGGTTGAGGTTAAGCGAGGACACTATTGTGGTTTGAGATTTAGGATTTGGAGTGAAAGATGAGGGTATTTTCGGGAGAAGGGGATGTGCACTAAGTGAAAATTAAAATTTAAAAATTATTTGGTGTGTGTATTAAGTAAGGATGTGTATAAAGAGGAATAAGTGTGTGAAAATAGTAACTCTCTGAAGATACAATACTTTATTCACGAGGACAAACTTAGATAAAACGATCAAAATATCATATATATATATACACTCTATACTCCACACCAAACCCTAACCTCCTCACTACTCCTCTCTCTTTCTACCATCTGTTCTTTACTTATCTCTCTTTTCTCTCTGCTCTCCGTTCTCCGTCGCCTCTGATCGCCGCTGTCCACCCCCTTCCTGCCGTCTCAACCAAGCCTTCTTCTGGATGCCTCCAATGTCGTCGACGGCTGAGTCCGAAACCGATTTCGTTGATGGCTTCCTCTTAGATGTCGTCGACGGCTGAGTCCGAAACCGATTTCGTTGATGGCTTCCTCTTAGACTGCGGCTTCCAGATCTTCATCACGGCTTATCCCTCTGGTGTCATCGCTGCTTCCGCTTCCCTCGACAGCAT